GTGTATTACCTACCAATCGAAGGCAACGATATATATGTACAGTATACACATAACTATAGTAGGTATTAGGATCTAATATTGTCTTAGTCATTACCAATTAATATTCTCGTTACATATTATTAACATCATGACTTGAATAAAAAACTCTTTTTTTTTTTAAGGTTCAATGTCATAAATATACTCATTGCGTAATTTAACACAGGCATAGCTTTAAAGCCGTAGCTGAAGGATGCTTTGAAAATACATACAAAACATACTATTATTTTCACTGTGAATTGTGGTACTTTATAGGCATGACTGCACTCCAGTAGGTAATTTTTCCCAACACTATTGTTGCTGTAACTATTATGTGAATGAATATGGCTTTAGAAGGGTATATGAAACTTATGAAAAATATGTACGGTGTACCGAACAGAAAAATGTTACGGTCAATAGTATAACAAACTGAAGAATTGCTTTCTCATTGCTATGATTATGGTTTTGTAATATTCTTTAAGATAACAACATGATTCAAACACAATGTCTAGTAAATAAATAAAAACCCCTGTTGAATATTTGGAATTTTTTTAATGAGAAAAAAACAAATTTAAATACATAATTATATTAATTATATTTTAATCATAATAGCGAGAAACGCTTTGTATATTAAGGAACTGTACTACTTTCTAGCGATTCTGTTTTTTTAAATGACAATTAATTAAACTAAAAATACTACTAAATAAATATCCTGAAATATTTTTTTTATGATTAATATCTTAGCACGCATTGTGAAATACGCAGTTTGAATATTTAAAAACGTATGGAAAAATAAACTTTTGGATATATTTTGTAATTACACACGCCACGCCGTGACCGACTTATGCAATCGTGAACATTTTCGTGGCAAAAATTATATTTTCCACTATTATTCATCTACGAATGACATTATTACAACAATGTGGAATATTTTAAAGTAATTGTATGTTAATACTTTATAAGTTATAACCATTGTTATTGATGCCATTAGAGTAAAATGAAAAAAATGAATTTATTTTTATTTTTCGTACAATTATCGAGTCCTCTAAAGACAACTTTATTTTTTGTTAATGAAAAATCTTAGGAAAAGGTATTTCGAGCGTAGCACCGGCGTCAGTGACATCTTTTGACAACATAACGTGTTACACAATAGATAATTATTTTTAATTGATGACTAATTGTAAGCCTTGCTCAATGATTAATTGTTCTTACAATAATAATGCCACATACAGAGCCATACTTGTACGAGTGCTAAAATATATTAATGGTTTCACATTAATAGAGGCCAAATTTATAATTGTTCAAAGATCGTTTTATAAAGCTAATGGGTAAGTCGTGGTCCTTTTAAAATTTATAATGACGAACATGAAGAAACAAAATGTTTACCAACAAGCCAATTTTATTTTTAGGAAAATATCATTTAAAAATCGTTAAGTCAGATAAGTGGGATATTGAAATTAATGGACAAGTGTAAATGCAAATGGGTTTTGGAAAAAATTAACAACATTTCAATTTATCTCTTGTTGAAAACTTATCGGCTGTGACATATTATTTGATTGTTTTGGGTATATTAGCCATCGGGCGTAGATAATATTATGTAACCCAAATCAGTTGGTAGTGAGAGGGTGATGTGGCTGAACATTTTTTTCAAGGCAAGTGAAAGAGAGACAGAATGAAAAATGGAAAACAACATTTAATATCGCGTGTTCCGTACGTCCATAATATTATGTATACACACACATCCACCGTCTGGGAATTATTCGTGTGTCTTGTTATATTTTGGTTTTCGACAGCCCATTTGGTGTCCCGGAAGGCGGAACCCCTCCTCTCAAAAAACCATTTGCACGTCTCCAAAACCCATTTACGCGTTTTATGGAAATCGTTGCCTCGCAAAACGCGGCATGTTATACTTACACGTGAGACCGTTTACGCATCGAGAGCTCGGTTTACATCACGTGTGTGCTGTTGGTAAATTTCCTTCACGTGCTCCCGGTGTTTCTAACTTGCATGTAGATATGGGATATGTTGAAAAAAATACATATATTTATATCGGTTGTACTAACAGCTGTGAATTTTCAAGCGTTCGTCCAAAAGCACGGACAATTTAATTGACTGTGCGAACCCCGACCTTAAACTTGTACTCGAATGCATTAGATTAGTGTTCGCGGATAATAATAATAAAAATAATAGTTCATGAACGCGATTACGATCGCATCCGGTCGATCCCGCGTTTTACTATGACGATAATAGTATAATATTATATTTTGTTAGGATAGACTTTGTTAATACCATCACGGTCAATTATCGCCGCCGTAATAAAGGCAAGGGGCGGGCTCGCGGTCTACGTGTGTCGTGCGGTAGGGCCGACTTATCGTACGGTTACACCTCACGACTTACATCCTTTTTGTGACGTCAGACCCATCTATTAAGCATTGGGTACGTCACTGGTTACAAGTGTTTCGTTTACGATAATATTAATATATGTATATCACGTGCAATAATAATTATTATATTAAAAAAAAACGCAGGAAGTACATGGTTGACGTCGTCGATGACGACCTACATCACTGTTATACATATTTGTAGGTACGATATATTATATCATGCACGATGCACCCATTTATGTTTTAATTTTCGGTTTCCATTTTAGGCGGTTGCCCTATGCAGCGGACAGAGTGAGGAGAGAAGCGTGTGATTAAGGGAGTTTTTATTCAACTCGTACATTTTATACCGCCGTATATTTTTTCCTTATTCATTGTTTCATTGTTTCTTTAAAAATTTAATTTATTTAACCTTTTATAGCAGACACCGTCTCCGGTTATGTAAGGGCATACGTTTCTTAATATAAAAAGAGGAAAATTTTCTAAGAGTCGTATTTTCTGAGGACCTTCATTATTATTCAATATATTCAGGTATTATCAGTGATAAAAACACTATTTCCTAATTAAAATCATAAGTACATAGGTCATTTATTTTAAATATTATATAGTTTTAAAAAGTCTCAACGGTATGAAAGTACAATTAAAAAATCTTAACTCTTATCTTTGACTCGAGAGTAGAATCAATAATTTGAAATAATGCAATTTCCATAGGTACCCACGTTTAAAAAAAAAAACTATTCCAACTTGACCGAGCTCGTACTTTTGAGTTTTGTTACTACTGTAGTTTGAATAATTATTATTAAAACTTATTGTAGGTATTATTTGCTGGCACTTGGCCAATGTAACAAATAAATAAATTACGACTTTGCTTCATTCTTCTACTTTTTTTTATTTTATTAACCCAATCAATACAACACTACATCGTTTTCCTGCGCTTTAAAGGTTGTTGCCCTTTTAGTCTTGGCCTACAAACCTCCCGCTAACTTTTTTTTTTGGCATTTTCCGACATAAGTATAACTTTTTGTTAAACATTTTTGTTTGATTGTATTTGTTCAAACGATTAGTCATGTATACCAGAAGACAAGTCACATTTTATTATTAAAAAAAAATTAAAATAATTTGCTGATTAGACAATATCAAAACTACCGCGACTGTAGTGGAAGAATCACTATAAATCGAGCATAAATTCCTAGAAATAACGATTGGGACTTTATTATAATGTTATTTGGAAATAATACAAATTTCACTCGTCTCATTCAATTTGTATTTTTATGATTTCAAAGGTATACAGAATACGGACTAATCACTAAAATATCATATAGTTACGGGTCCAATTTTTAATTTGTTAAAAACAAATTCAGGTAAACAATTTTTTTTTCAAAATTGCTACTCGCAGTGTATGTATATTAACATAAATTACGGGTTCTACATGTAATACTCTAGTCACGCCCCGTTCTTAAAAAAAAATGTTAAAACGTTTGTGTTGCTTACTTATAAGTTATTATTTTGTAAATTGTGTGCTTTACCTAGGTATTAGTTATTATTTTTTAAATTGTAACAAACGGTTAATGGTAAACATGCACGCTCTCCCCATTCGAGTAATTACTCGATCACGCGTGTCAAACATAACTTTTATGGTTTCTACGTGTATTTTTTATTGTATTCAAAATCAATTGAGCTTTAATAGTTTTAATTTTTTTTGCTTAACATTTTTTTCATAACTTTTTCCGACAATTTTTTATTATAATTATAATAATAATTGTTAATAATTTATTATTTATTTATTTTATTAACAAATATTTTATCGGTAATCGTTATGAAGTATAGACGGATGTGTTTAAAATATATATTATAAGGTTATATAAATATACATCGATAATGAACGATTAATTGTGTCCCTGCAATTATAAACATGAAGAGTTTAACAATAGAGCAAGCGCGCTTCATACAAAATTAACGGTTATACTGTATGTATATAGTTTATACACAAGTGTATATATAATACATAATATAAATTTATCTTAAAGCGTAATGTGTGTACATAAATCAATCGTTTAAGTTTTACCTGGGCGTTTATTATTTTTATTATTCATGAACTCGGTAAATTCGACAAAGCATTTCACGGTCAATACATCTTTGGAAAGGAAAAACTGCTAAACAATTAATTAATATAATAATACCTATACTCTATAGGTATAACCTTTAACAGAAAAGTATGCTTTTTGAAATAACGCAAGGGTCAAAAGAATCTTGCGATAACTACGAGATACGATGTACACTTATTTTAATGTTAAAGTCTAAAGATAATATTAGTGTTTAGTAATATTTGTAGTTTTTCGCAGAAATTGTCTAACGTTAACGCAACGTGATAATAATAATGTTATTAAATTATATTTTTAAGCTCGATTAAGAAAATCCGTCATGTTCTCAAATTCAAAAATGTATTTTCGAAAATGTTACCTCGAGGTTTTTGTATTCAATCAGTTTAAACACAAAAAAGATGATATAAATGAACACTATCTCTGGTAAATAAATCTGTACGCGATTTGTCATAATACGTTTTATAATCGAAAAAACAATAGAGAATATAGTAATGACACTTACCCAAGAGTAGTAGCATAAAATCGAGGAATATAATCCAACTTTTTTGTTTAATCATTTTATTTCTCGGGAATTACCAATAAAATCTTTCCAGAGCGATTAAATATAACAACAGACGACAACGTCGGTTTATAATATGTAAAATTATGAGTAAATCAACTCCACTGATATTATTATAAAAAAAAACAAATTAAAATTATTTCATTTTCAATTATTGGAATTACGCGTTACGCAAATAAAAAATATATTATTATTATCGGTGTATGATATTATTTTTTTTTTTTTATAAAAGTTGAACTTTAAGCACACGTGACAGCGGTTTGTTTTTTATGTGTCTACAACGGACATTCCGACCCAATGGTTCCCCACTGAATGGCCCATGCTATTACGTTACAATATAGTGTACGTCCCACAGTAATGACGTGAACCATTTCGTTATCGTCCTGTGGTGTATAAAGTGTATTACACACACCACACACACACACACATTCGCACACATTTTTATTGTATCCATTATTTTTAACACACACAAGCGCTAATCAATCTAAAAAAATATTAACCACGTTATTGTTTTCACTGTGAGATTTACTCAACAAATCCAGTGTTCAAACGGTTAGGTGTGGAAAGTTCAAAAGTAAGTATAAAAGGTAGGTATGTATCTACCTTTTAATTTTTAATTACTATTAATTACTATTAATACGAAAACCTAGATAATATAGATGTATGGGCCATTAACCATACCGAAAATAATATTAAAAGTAGGTATTCTTCGGTGTTTGTGTGCTTAAAACAATCGATATATTGCGCTAAATAATATATTATTATTTGAACACACAATACGATTTTATTATTTTATTGTACAGTACGAAGATTACAATATTTATCATTGTCATAACTACTATTATTTATTATCTAACTCTATTTCCTAAATTTGTAAAAAAAAATTTTTTTCTTTTATTACTTTACATACACACAATTTAAACAACATTCAAAATATACAATTGAGTAAATATTAAAACAATTTCTTCGGAATATGTAAAATAAAATATATTGTATATAGATTCTTTAGAATGTAATTACAATATGTAATGTACAAAATTCATTAACTTCTATGTCTTAACTCCTAATTGTAAGTAAATAGAGTGTTTTTAAGAAATTCGAGTAAATACATTAAATTTTACATTCAAGTTTGATGTAGCAATTTTTTAATAAATAATAATGGTAATTTGCATTTAAAAACAATAGAAATGTTTGACTTAACCTTTGGCTTTTTAGAAAAAAATCGGTAATATATGGGTCTGAAGAAGCCCAACATCAGTTTTCGTGATTTTTCGAGAATGATATAAAAGTTTTTATTTCTATGATGGCTTTGTTAATTTTTTTTTCAAAACACCATAAATTTTAAATTTTTGTATAGATGGTACGTAACATCTTGATAATACTGTTATCAATATATTATATTATAAAATAAAATATGTTTCTTAATACAATAATTATATTTTATGGCATTATTACTTAATATTTAAAAAACGCCAGCCTCGTTTATAATTACCCCTGTTAAATTTACCCAACTTGACTCTTTAAATACAATAATAACATGTAAGGTGAAGAAGTTAAAAATTGTAAATAATTCTTCCACTTTTAAACTTGTTTACTAAAATATTTAAATAATAAACTAAACAATCAAATAATTGTTTAGGGCAACAAGTTAAGTGGTGTAAACAAAAGATAAGTAGAAAAGTCTTATAACTCTCCTATATATTTTTTAGTGAATGAAAGTTTATCTCTTTCATGAACAAATAACAATGATCATCTAAGCGTCTCACGTTATCTAATGAAGGACGCTTTTATGTTTCTGGATTTATTTTAGTTAAATAGATTTTTTGAATATAGTATGATAAATACTTTTTACCCCTCTTTAATGACAAAAGCCAAATTATTGTTATATAATGCTCATTTTAATTGATTGCATATACGTTATGATTTAATCCTGCGCACGCTTATGCATGTGCTGATTATTGCCTTAACATTTAAAGCCCTCTCGAAAACAAATCCTGTTTTATTAATACATTAATATTAATATTTATTATCTTTGTTCAAGGTTTTTAGGTAAGCGATTAAAATATCGTGTCATATTAATAATAAAAAACTACATACAAATTATTGACAGCATTTTTTTTCCAGTAAATTTTAATAAAGGTAATATTTGTATAGTACACTGTACATTTGAGTCATAAGTACAACTGGTGAGTAAAATCTAGTTAGTTTCACGATACTAAAATAACGAACAAATGTTAAATAATATACAATGGTTAATACAATTTTCATCTATTACTTATACGTACTTTGTATTTGTTATTTATTATTTGTATTTTGTTAATAAACTGAAAAGTAAAAATCACGTAGATCATTATATCGTTTTAAGTTATTGTGACAATTCTTATTGATGATTTCTAATAATAAAATTATTAATAATTTTAACTACCTATTTTAACTGTTCACCGTTCACTGCATTTTTTTATGTATTTACTATGCATAACTTGTTATAATTTTTTTTTAATTTTAGACCTAATAAGAACAAGTGTTCTTGACAATATTGATTAAAATTTGAAACTTAATACGCATGTTATTTACTAGGACAAGTTCATTATTAATTATTACTATTTTTAATTCTGGTATTTTAACAGTATATCTATAGTAGCAGTCAGCAGTAGAGAAAGTAGTAGGGTAATAATTAGTGTGAATGACAACCATAATATCTATAGTGTTCCTTGACCCAGGTTACAGTCCTACTTGACATGCATATTAATCCTAATAGCTAGTGACTTGAATATTGGGTGCTTATAGTGCTAATTGAGCCAATGACTGCGTTTTACGTTTGCATTAATTTGCAATTAAATTGTAGGTATATCCGTATATGGTATTGTACCATATTATATATTTTGTACTGGGTAAATAGTATAATAACATGATACTAGAAAAATATAAGAAGCATATGAATCTCATTAAGAATGCCATTGCCGTTTTTATATTACAATATCATGAAAAACTGATTCATTTATAATGTAGTCATTAAGTTAGAATATTAAGCGAAGAACGAATACTACAATATTATAACAACGGTTGATATTTTAAAACTCACTGTAGTTTGAACACGCCCTGACATCTAGTAAAAAAACACTTGACTACTATTTCAAATATGTATTACTAGAGTTTAAACTTAAAGAGTTTATTGTAGTTGAGAGAAAAATAAAATGTATAATTTAGCATTCAAACGTTTGTACATACATTTTTTAATTAAAAATTTAATGAAATAAATGGCTGTCACTTGTTTGGACATTTGTGGGTATGAAGCGATCTCAAGTTGCTTAATAAAATAAACAATCGGGTCACATTAAATCCTTGAAATTACACATTGGACAGTTACTAATAACCTTTGTACTAGGTCGGACCGGTTTTTAATAACATTGGTGATAAGATAAAACTATTTACTTGATTAAAATGTGAACTTCGTTTTATTTTAAGACTAATAGAAATAATTTTAATAGATTATGACTGAATAGTTAGATGTTGATCAGAAACATTTTTGTTATAAATTATATTTTTGGGCGTATGTCGTGATAATAATATGTCTGTAGACATTTTTCACAATACGCTCAATAAAACGGATTAATTTAACAATATACTTAGTTTTTATAACCAAAAATTGTAATTAGTACTCGGTAGACAGTAGGTTTTTCGATTCCAAGATACTGACTTAAAGTGTTTATTTTTTCAAAATGTTACTTAATTAAAAATAAAATTACAAGTACAATACTGGTTTTTATTTTCACGTAACACTTATTAGGTGTAAATTAAATTGTATTTATAACATTATTATTATTAAATAAGTACATAAATGTTTGAAGGTAAACTTAACAACGTTTGTTAGTTAATATTTTAAATCCCAGCATACTATTTAAACATTAACTAAAAAATAAATAAATTGTAATAATAATTAAGCTAACATGATGATGATAATAATAAATTAAAATGAGACAATGAATATAATGTAAAATATAATTTTTAAATACAGTTCTAACTATTAAGTAACACAAAATTAAACGTATTGAGGGAAATATAATTCAGTCAGTAATTATGAATTGCACTTAATGATGAGTTGTGTTATTTAAACATATGATTTAACCTAAAAGCCCGAATTTAAGTAACTTTAACTTTAATAATTTTAACATCAAGAAGTTGTCCGGATCTCCTATGGAAGGAATATCGTCTCTTTTCCTGGGGTCTGTCGGATCCGAGTCAATTGGAAGCGATGAAACGAGTACCACCGCAAGTAATAAACAACACAAAATCTGTAAAAATTAAATATATTTATACATTATTCTTTGAACCTAATCATTTAAAATCTTTTAATCGCAAGTAATTATTAAAAGCGCCTTTGTAACAAATAAAATAAACAATTAATTTCTCTGATATTTTGAAGTTGATATTAAGTTATATTTAATACAGTTTTATTCCAGTTAAGTAATAGGTTATATTAGTTAAAATTAGTAATAATGTATTAAAAGTAAAATACTCAAATCTATACCTATTGAAACGAATAATATATTTATTAATTTATTATATAATTTAATACATAAATTACATTTCTTTTACCAGGGTCGGCGAGTTTAAATTTTGCAACACAAACGTAATTTCATTGTCTTTCGTTGCTTTTATAAGCTATAATTTATATATACATATTTATTTATTTATTTAGTTGTTGACACTGACATGTAAACCCATACCATAATATATCTGTTTCAAATCTTGTTCATGTTTGATACCCATAAAGAAACGTACTCACGTATAACCCCTATGGCTTATGCATTGATTTTATAACGTAACTATTTTGTATAATACTTTTATGAACACAGGACAATAATTTTCAACGACCTACATGACGAGTTATTGATAAAACATTAAACGGTTTACCCAAATTACATTTTACAGCGTTTCCCAAAAATAAAAGGTATATTTCTCTCGGCTTTCTATCTTAATACGTTAGAAAATACTTGACTACTTTCATATAATTCTAGGGCCATAGCAGTATTAACACAATAATTTATTTTTTGTCGAGACATAACAAAATAAGAGGCTTTTATAGCAGTAAAAGCACAAAAAATAAATTTAAAAAACAATTAGCATATTATAATACTAAAATGCTAATTAATTAGCCTTTCTGTTAACTCAAAACTATATTCATGTGACTTTAAATGTTTGCTATTCTACCTGTAACTTGATATATTATGAAATATTTTTAGGGACCCAATAAAACTATTATTTATTAACCCTCTTGAGAATCTAATATCAATTAATACC